ATAGTAAAGTTTAAAAAGTAAGCATAAGAAATCTTTTTCCTTAAGCGTGTTTATTGCTTAAAAGAACCTATTGAAAAAGTAATACATGTTTATATTATCAAAAAAGTTAATACAATCGTTTTATATATATTTTAATTAATTTTCTTATTAAGACGGCTTCATTACTAGGTAAGCAGATTTTATGACCCTAAGACTAAAACTTGTTAACTTATAAAAAATATGAGATTATTATCTATTAACTATGTAATCTATTAACTAATTATAATTATAAACTTTAATATGCTTTTATAATTACATTACCAAGTATTCAAAATAACATTTGAATGAATTATTAAAGTATTTAATATTGTCCTATAAATAATATAAATCCTATAAATTTATTTTTCAGAGTATTATATTGATCGTACATGCATGCTAAATTGAATAAGGACATGCTAAGAGTCCAAACAATAGGCTTAATTTTGTCACTGCGTTACCTTACAAAACTCGATAAGTTTATAAACATTTGAAACCAGCATTTTCGAAGACGTTCCGAAGAGGTTAAACCTCTTTAAAAATTATGTAAATATGAATAACGTATAACCATACAAAATTCAATTGACTTATAAATATTTGAAACATTTAATTAACCATAAGATGTTCTTTAAACAAACATCTTGTGGAAGTCTAGGTCCTTCAGGAAATATGTCTGTAGCATATTATTAGTTGGAACTAAATAATAAGTCGTATGATACTCTTTAAGTATATTATCTATTCTTATTCAATATAAGTAAATTATCAGTTGCTTATATCACTAATTTAGTTTTTTTCATCTAAACGGACGTTTGAATTCAATTTTATAATTGCAAACTAAATAGTTTAAGGATTCAGATAGCAGTTTTGTTTAATATGTATTCTAAAACAGTGCTCGAGCATGATGTGGATAATCCTATAGTTATACGTGTTCTTCATGTATATATATTTAAGAGTTTTTTTTATAACTAAGTTTATTTAAAAATAAACATATCATTTCAAAATATTATAATTAGTTCAAATGATTATTTCTTGTATGTTATACATCTGGTATTTAGATGTGATTCACAAGGTTCTAAGTACTGCGGGCACCAGTCGTGACTTCGAGTTGAATAGCGCAATGAGAATTAAAATATACAAATTAATTATAGAATGCCATCGTTTTCCATTTCTACAAAAGAGTTTGGTTCAAACTGAGAGCAGAGGCTGTATATTTCACCCAGAAGTACAGAACTATATACATACATATATACATGTTGAGCAACATATTAGCACCATTACCCAAGTAAAGTGCGAAACGTTTCTCCAAGGAATGTTGTGCATCAGAAAATTTTTATAAACTTTCAAACAGTCTTAATAAAAGATATTCTAACCAAGATTTCTCTTGTAAATGTTTGATCTTGTTGCTGAACTTATTGTCTGCACCTTTCATTCACACACTACCAAAGTCAAAAACGTCTATTATTTCTCAGAGCAACCGTAGTAACCCACCTCAGATCCATTACTATATAACATTTTCAAAGCAATTCCAATGTCATTCCTCCCAAACTGAACTAATATTAATTATTACAATTTTAATGTAAGCATTTGAATATATTTAATATTTTTTGAGGGTATAATAAATTTTAATCGATTTATGTAGATCGATAAACTCGTATCTCAATTCAAATTAATATTTCAAAACATAAAATTCAGCTTAACTGATAAACTTAAAAAGTCAAAATCTTTATTATGGAATTTATGAATGAAATTTATTTCCATTAAAGAAGTTGAAAAACATCTTCTGGTGCGAGTGTTTATCTTTATGTATGGGCGTTTGCTCCATATGCATTGGTGCACAAATTAAGATGCTAATGCATTTGTTGCTAATGCATTTCATATGCTTCAATGCATTGTTGAGTGGGCTCAAGTGTTGCTGCATGTTGCAAGGTGTATCAAAGCGATATGCCATAAATTCGTAGATGCTTAAAAGTAACTGAATGTGAATATCTACGCTGTTTCCGTACTAAATATTTCACAAAGAAGGTGTTAAATGCATTGTTACCAAACAAAGTATTTGCAATGCTTCTTGCTCTTGTTTGATAATTAAATTAATTTTAGTTATATTTCACTTCACACTCACTCGAAAATCTGACGAATTTTGGTGTTCAAAGAAGATTATATATATATATGTAAAAATTCTGTCAGTTAAAAAAAGGCAATGAAAAAATATGAAATTATTTACAATTTCAAAATTAGTTCATAATTATTTTGTATACAGTGTAGTGCTAAAAAAGTATCTAATTCCGCACCAATTCATATGTGGCGTTTTGCTTTTTTATGTACATTTTATAGGTTTAATTTCCTAAAAAAAAATTGTATATTATTTTTGTTTATAATGAAACTGTGCCAAATGAACGCTACATAATTTATTAAGCATTTGACGAATATATCTTTTTGATCTATTGCCTTTGCACGATTCTTACAAAATTTTCAAAATTTTAGTTTAATATTTTTTTTTATTACAAATGGCATTCACACATGTTCGTCTTTTTATTATTTTAAGTCTTACAAAATATCAATTTATTTAAAAATATTAAATTTTCTCACAAAATCACATATGGTTTCAAACTAATTCTTTTTTCATTTTTACAAAGATACAAGTATTTTGAAAATAGCAGACAGTAATTTAGTATAAAAATTTGTTATGACTTTGGGTTCTTTGTAGACCATTTAAGCGCTTGGCATTGATTCAGAAATTAATATACTCGTAATTGGTCTGCTACAAGAGTATCACAGACCATTCAAAAATTAATATATATATATTTGTAATCATTTAAAAAAAAAAAAAAATAATTTAACAATGTATTTATAACCAAAAACGGAAATTACTTAAAGACGCGTAATATTTCTTCGCTAATATCCTCTAATGTTTGGCTCTAACAAAATAAAGAATTGATTTAGTTTACTTATGATAATACGTGACTTTACATATGTATTATGACCTAAGGCAAGATGATAAGCCTTACTAAAGTTCGCATTTATTCATTAGCAATATCAACAAAACATACATCTCTCTGTTTAATTTATATAAACTAACTCGTTACTAACCTAGTAAATCAACCAATGGCGATATTGGTTATCTTTTTAGTCAACCAAAAGATATTCATTGGCAAATACAATTTAATAAATGATGTGATTGGTTGAATATTTCCCATTTGTTGATGAACAAAGAGCAAACAACATAAAGATTTTCTTGCAATAAAAAAAATATATATATAAATGTGATTCGCATACCTTCATACATATTTTTTACATATTCATTAATATTCTTGATAAGAAAAGTAATATTCTTATATTCCCGGATTATTGACCGGTTACTGTAGATTGAATAATCACCTATCGAAGTTACTGTAGAGCAGAGAGAGAAACCACATACTATGTGCTTAAGGAGTGCCCAGCACTGTTGATTGAATAATCACCTATCAAAGTTACTGTAGAGCAGAGAGAGAAACTGCATACCATGTGCTGGGGGAGTGCCCTGCACTGATGCATAAGTGGAAGAAAAATTTAGGAGGGTATTTCATGGATCATAAGGATTCAAAACTAGGAAAGATAGGCTCTATACTGGCTTTCATTAAAAAAATTGGACTTGGAGAAACACTCCAAGTGTTTCTCAGTACTCCGACTATGGGGCACAATAGATCTTTTAGGTCGCAGTGCTCTGTTCCTGCTTTTTTAATAATAATAATATATTCCGTATATTTTAATGAGAAAAATTGGTTATTTTATCCATGAGTTAAATCCTCAATTAAACATTAGTAACTATGTACTCTATCGGTTTCATTGCATAAATTACTGCAGGAACAATCAGCTCCTGATCATCATAACTTTTTAAAATATGAGGTATGAAAATACTTATCTACTCTAAAAACATTTTTGGTTGTCGTTTACTATTTGGGCTCACTAGGATTAGAATACTAAGATTTAATTGATCATTTTTATTTCTGTCACCTAATTTTCTTTATAATGTATTCATTAATTGTCTGAAGCCTCAAAAATACACTACTGTTGTGAAGCTTTTGGCTATTATTCAGCCAAAGCAGAATATTTCGATCTTAACTGATAAGTGACCAGACCTTACTGACCTTACAATAACTGCTTCCTGAGACCTAAAGATACACTTTTGTTATTATTCATAAAGTAAAAATAAATATAATAATAACATAATGGCGAAAATAAAATTATTAACAAATTGTTGTATAAAACTTTTGAATATTTAATCAATAAAAAAACTCTGTCACTTATTTCTTCTTGCGGTGTAGTTCCGCTTAATTTTAGCAGATTAATTAATTTATCGTAGTAGTTAATATACAATCGCCAAGACCTAGGGCTCATTTATTTATAGAAATGGATTGTGAACACCTTCAACTAACTTAGAATATGTAATATATATTTGAATATTATTTTATTGCACTCTGTTTGAATAAAATTAAATGACTTTTGTAAAAAATTATTTTAGTTCTTCTGCTACTAGATATTTTAACCTGTTTCAATCATAATATATAATCTCCGACTGAAACTATATAAGCATTATTTGTTATAAAGTCAATATATTTTTGAAAAATAATTAATTCTATTTTATTTGAACATGACTAACTGTTTTCATTAGAAAACATTTAGGGATAGTTCTTCTGTTACTTGATATTTAAATGGATTTGGATTTGGATCAAGATATATATTCTCATATCAAAAATAAATATTGTTAATTAGGTGGTTAAGCAGAAAAATGGGTACGATATGTATTACTTCTGGTTGATTAATATCAGAAATATATCTATAAAAATATCTAATGCTCTATTAGATATTTAAAGACACTACCTTAGATTTATTAGATTAAAGATATCTAATAAAATAATATTTTTATTAAAAGATATTAAAAACTCAACTAATTTATAAATTTTATGTTATATTTAATTTGTTAATACTAAGATATTCAATAAGCGAACCTTTTTTAAAAGTAAAATTGTTTATAGCTGGTTGTCCAATTAGTTAATGAAATTATTAAATAATATTTCCAACAAATATTTAAACACAAAAAAAATCTTTAAGATTTATAACATATGTGTATTAAATTTTTTATTATAGCACTTTGAATTATTAACTTTTTTATCAATAATTTTTGAACTAATTTGTAACAATAATTTTTATTTGACGATTATTTTAACGATAATTAATTTCTATACACAATAAATAACATAGAATTAATTTTAATTTTTAACAATTGATAATTGTTTGAATGAATGTTTTTTTTTACATAAACAAAAACTACATGTCATTTTTAGAAATATTTTTAAAACACATTAAATTTTATTTAAAAAAAATGCTGATTTAATTTTATAACATTTTTTTTTTGATTTATATTAAATCTTATTTTTTATTATTTTTGGACAAAACAACATTTTTTTTATCACACCGAACCGAAAATATTTCTTCAAATGTCTCGAATCGCTATCACTGCTAAACTAAAGGGAAAATTGAATCTAAATAGTCTTTCTCTGTTAAAATCTAAGCGAAACAGCCATCCAAATGGCACTGAGTTGCACTTCATTGTTGATTTGGTATAAAATTTTGGGTGATACTTAAGCTCTCCGTGCTCATGTTATGCAAACCAAGCGATCTCGCGCCCACATATAAATACAAGTACGCACACCTCACACCTAAGCAAGCTCTGAACCAATGCACAGCAAAACAAACCGAAATTTCACATGATTTCACTATGTCAGAGGAATGAATGTGTGGGTTGCCAAAGATACTCTTGAGAGTATCTGTTAGCAGGTTGGCATGAAAGTACCGCCAAACGTACAAATCTCATGCAACCGAAGCGCACTGAAGACCGCAGCACGTGGTGCTATTTTGCTATTTTCAATTTCAGTGTTGGTAGAGAGGACGGAGTATATCAACTTTTCATCAAAATGGACAGCCCTGCTCATAATGATCCATGGCGCTTTCAATCATGTCTTCAACTTTATTTTTATTTTTATTTTTATTTTTATTTTTATTCGAAATGAACAATTTTTGTTTATGACGAAAATAAATTTTGCTCCAATTTTTTATGCTCAATTAAAGTGGAGCAGAACAGACAACGCGGTTTGTAGTTTGAGGCTTTATTTTGGCCATTATTGCAGTATCTATTTATGTGTGCTAAATGTCAATGGCCCGGCCCAGTGGTGCGCGTACGAGCACAATATAGGTACGTCGTATTGTAGACAGTGCCAGATACTTTTTAAAACTAATAATGCAATATTTGTTTGGGTTTACATATGTCAGAGGAGATCGCTTTTTTTTTAAGTCATTTTGGTGCATTAAAGACAAATTGAGCGTTTTTGGTTTAATTTATTTCTGCAATAAAAAAGATTATTTTTCAATTCTTTCAAGCAAATGAAATTTTAGTAAATTAAAATTTAAATCTTATGTAGGTAAAGTGCACACAAGCTATTAATTTTATTAAAGATACTCTGTATACTTCACATTAAATTATCTTTTATGGTAAGAGGAAATATCTAATTAAAATGAAAAAGTTTAAATTCTTCAACATTTATTTTGTATATATACTCGTATTGACTTATAATTACAACAATATTATGTTACATTAGAATAGACATAGACATACATCATACAGACATAGATCGGAAAACAAATAGATGGCTGAAACGCATTGAATCAGTCAGCATATAAAGCTAGAATCTGCCTAAAAATCTACTAGATTTCTGTCCATGAGTCGTATTAGGAGATATTTGCAAAATTAAGAAGACGTGTCCTGGTTTGCCAGAGGTCACTGGGGTCAGTGCGATAGCTTATATAAGATATAATATATATAGGAATATAAAATATAAGAAATTATATATTAAAAAAATATTGCATGTGACATCATGTCACATGATGTCGTCATTCTATTAGATTCACATGTAGATAGAAGATGTAGATAGAAGTATAACTGATGGATGTATTACTGATATAAAATTGTTATTGACAGATAGGTGGCACTATATATTAGATTTACAGATAAATAGAGGGAGCTTTCTGCTAAAAAGAGAGATATGAGAAAACAGATACGTAAGATTAGTGATATAAATTCGTTATTGACAAATATATGACATTATGCTTTTATATTCACAATAGATAAGGAAGCTGTTTTGCTAAAAAGAGAGATATGAGTAAACGGATGTATAAAATTAAATATATTGACAAATAAACCACTTTAAAAAGGTGTATAAGTCGAAAACAATGAGACGATTAGCTGACTACCTGAAATTTGGAATTAAGATAATTAAGCGAAATATAGACATATGTTAATTCTTTATAGAATAATATTATGTCCATGTATTTAACTTTATATTCTAAAGTTTTAATATATCACACCAATCGACTTTGGCTCTTGCAAGTTTTAAACAAGTTTCTAGGTTTTAGAAAGGTGAAATCTTTGTCAATGATACGGGATGCAAACTGTTCCATATATGATCTAAAGACTGATTTCTATTTCTTTTTGTATTAACAAATTTTTGAGGTTTCTGGATTTATTAGTACCTTTATCTTTCCAAGAAGCTTGCAGCACATCATTAAGTATTAGTTATTTATTTCCAAATTGTTGTTTTATTTTCTTCCTACTATGACTAGGAAGAATAGCTATGAATTAATAGCCAAATTCATTATTTTTGTAAATCGTGCTATATATATATATATATAATGTTTGGCAGGTGCTGTAGTTAGGAAACTTTCTTCATTTTAATTTTTTTTTTTTGAAAATAAACAGTATAATATATTTACTAAAAACAAATAAATAATGTACTTATCGGATTTTCTTTTTTGAGTATTTTTTATAGACTAATTGCCTTACTCCATCACATTATAATATTATATATGGTAGTAAATAAGAGTGCCCTTTTAAATGCACTAAAATTAATTACTTTTCTTGTCTTGTGTGTGTCAACTTAATGCTTTTCTCATATAAAAGTTTAGTGAAAAATTCTATGAAACAATTTTGGTTATCCTTAAATAACTCAAATAGCTTATAATCACCAAAAATGGGATTTACTATGGAAATAAGTACATAACATAAAATATACACATTATTACTCTATTACTCTTTAGTTAAGACATTTAAAAGTTTCAAAATAAGTCTTAATTAGTTTAATAATGACTTTATAAATGAACAGAAAATTACTTTCAAGATTACCGATTACTTGTGAGCACTTTTAACTTGTTAACAACTTAAAATAAATTTAAAGTATTTTAATTGCATTTAAATAGACCACAACCATTTTCTCTACTTTTTAAAATTTTTTTTCTATTTTTTATTTCGTACGGTCCTCAGTATAAAAACTTTATTTCACTTTAATTTTTTAATATTTGTTGTTGCTGTTGTTGTTTTGTTGTTGTTGTTGTTGTTGCACTTTTAAAAGCCATTAAAATAAATTTGTTGGAAAATTATATACAAGTATGCACCCGTAGACCTGCATAAAGGAGCCAAGCAGCTACCACTATAAAGGACATTAAAATTTAATGAATGTAACTGCAAAAATGGTAAACTGCGTAAAGGGAAAATAGAGTGCTTGCAACTTGCTAACTGCATATTTGCATTGTGCAAATACCCATGGAAAGCGATGCTGCCATTCCGGTTGAACATCTCACTCACCCAACCCATAACGTCCCGATGATGGTTTCTTTTTGAGTGCTATTGTTTGTATTTTGTTGCCGTTGCCGTTGTTGTGCAATTTCAAAAAACATCGTTAATTTTTCATATGAAGTACACCCACAACATGTACGGGTACAAAAAGTACACATTAAAAATGGTATAAAAGGAAAAAAACTTGTAACATTGCTGAAACTATGTGCGAAGTGGTAACAAAAAACCTTGCTAAAACCCCCAAAATCCCACTTGACTTTCTACACTTGTTCTTGTGTTAATGTGTGCTTACTTTTTTTTCCTTATCCTTTTTCTGTTACGTGTGTGTAGTGTTTGCTATACACTACACTATATGAGCTACACTACACTTTTTGGCACTTTTGACTGAACTTTTTTACGACTTGCTTCAACTTGCAAAAATTGCAATCTAACTAACTAACATAAAGTGCTTAAATGTAGCATGCACTTTATATACTTAATCTGCTACGGTTAACTAACGATGCAATACTTTATTATCCCAAATACGTGTACGTGTACGTGTACATGTATTTAGCGTCACGGGACTTGTAGACATTATTTTTTGCCAACTAAAATTGCAAGCTGGAACAAATTCAAGGATACACTTAAACCATAAATACGCAATGATATCAGCCACATTGCAAACAGTCCCACTTCCACTCCCACTCCTGCTCCTGCTCCCACTTGCAGTATTAGTGTTAACGTTGGTTAAATATCTTTTTGTTCTGGTGTGGGTTAAGTGCGACAAAAATGATTTAATTGCTGCACATTGTTAAGGATTGAATACAAGGAGTCTGTTACATGAAGTTAAAAACATATTAAAAACAAAAATAATAACGAAGCCTGACATGAAAAGAGCATAGAAAAATGCATCACAAACGACCTCTATAATATGCAATAATGACAGCCGCACAACAACAAAGGCTCCTGAACACGGTAAAGATGTTAGCAGCATAGACAGCTTAACTATTGTACATGTGATATACGAGTGCCAACAAAATTGTAGTGCAGCATCAGTTTAATGCCACAGCATGCCACACACACCACTGAATACCTTTTCCAATCCTTCACAGTTCTTACTCCGCTTACTCAGCTTACTCAGCTTACTCCGTGGCGAAATGTCAAGGGAACAAGATGTTCTAAGATGTTCTAAGAAGAAGGTGGAGTAGCGAATCGGAAACTGGGTAGTGAAGTAGATTGTGTCATGAATGAAACATGATTTCTCAAGCATTTTAAGTCATGAATTGTGACATTTACCGAAAGGAAGTTGATAAGAATATTTTCTCCTGCTAGGGTTAAAGTAACCCCAAGGCAAGCACGGAGAAAGGAAAAAACTGAAATAAAAA